GTTTTATCGGTGTTGCAGGACGGTAAGCCGAGGAATTCTTCGCATAATTCAACAGTCTTCTCTACGCGGCATTCCTCCTCCGGTTTCCGGTGAGACTAAATCAAAAATTCTCTCATACCAATTTTCCTTCGAAATGTGAATTCATTTCACAACATATCACTAAGGAATTTTTCCAATCTCGAATTTTCATTCTATTTATTATAGCATTATTTTGTAAAGTATAGGCTCTTCCTTTAATGATCCTTGTCACACTATGAGGAGCCGGGATCTCTTAGCACTATACAACGGTCTTACTTTTACTGCAATCTTCATTCGGCTTTTGCTGATACCATTTTCTGAAAACCTTACAACTAAATCTTTCTTGGAATTGGAAATGGGGCCGCTGACGAGATCCAGGCTAGTTTGGACCTGATGTTCAGCAAAGCCTGGGTAAGTATATCTTTTTAAGCGCAATACTTACTCGCATTCAGTGACATCGTGAGGCCTACTTATCTGATTGTAGGAAAATTTAATCAAAAATCCTTCATCACCATATGCGACCTAGCCCGAATCCAGGTCTTATTAGAAAGTGGGATTTTTTATATCATTTCGCTTAACAGTCATTATCTTTCTTGGGCATTACTCTTTTAATGAATACAGATTGAACCCAAATCGGCTAATCCCTACAAAAAATGAATCCTATGAATTATCGAATGAATTTGTTAGTTCATACTCATGCCCATCTGTCTGAAGGCACATTTGTGTATGTCCGTGAGTATAGGAAAGAAGCAACTAGTCACAGACCATCGTGGCAATGTGGCCGAGTGGTTGACGTGTCAAGCTCCCATTCTGCACTATCACGGTTCAACTCCCGCTGGGGGTGTAGATAAGATCGATGCGAGGTCGAAACTGCAGTCCACCCTGGATGAAAACAACTTTTGGGAAAGCAAGTCAATGTGAAATTCAATGGAAACATCAGCTATACTCATATCATTGTGGGAAAATTCTACTACCAGTCCTTCGCCATCTTAAACGAAATATGGTGAATACCTCTCACATCATAAAATTCATGAATTTTAAAAATGTAGGTTTCCGAGGCTACCAGTAGTCCTCGTATAAGAGCTGTGTTCACCCCATTTTGTTTAAGGTGATGAAGGACTAGTAGTTAAATTTTTCAACATATTTTCCCCTATGCAACTTATTTTTTAGTTTATTGCTATACCAAATACAAGTTTGCTTCATCGAAACTCTCACCACAGCAGGTGATATTGAAAAGGCCTGGGATTCCTTGAAAGTCACGCCTCCCCAGTGATCCAAATGCACTCGTAGCAGTGTGGCGTAGAAACTAACGTGTCGAGACTATATACGGCATCGCTAAAATTCGGGTTCGAGTCCTGCTGAGACAAAGAGACGAGGTCAAAACTGAAGTCCACTCCAGCCTTGATGAGAATACCTTTTGGAAAGCAAATATATATGAAATTCGAGCGAAAATTAAAGCCTACTCATATGATTGTAGAAAATTCGACTACGAGTCCCTTATCATCTAAAACAAAATAGGCTGCTAGAATGAATTTTGCGTTTAGAGAAACTAAGCATAAGCGTCGATTCACAATTCGAGTTGCTGAGCTTCCTCTACGAAATCAGAAGTATCGAAATTTCCTTATAATTAATAAATGCATTACCGAACAGACAAGTTGTAGGTTGTCCAATATCCTTTACATTCCAAAGTTAATCAATCCTGTTCAATAAATGCTCACTTGACTACCTAACCCCTCTCGATACATTTAATGTTTTCCATAATTTATTACCTTTAATGAACCCCCTTTTATTCGCTTAGCAAAAAACGAATAAGAATGAGATCATTCTTTCTTATGAAATGAAATTCAGTCCAACAATGCGATATCAGAATATTAATTGAGACCCAGTCACTCTTTCGAGACGCCCATTCACAAGCCATACATAATGCGACGACAGCCAACTTATATGTTCCTTAGATTCTGGCCTCTTTTAGAGACACGGATGGCGAAGGTGTTAGCAATAGCCCTCAGACGATCCCAATCAAATAGACTGTATCTTATATCCGCGTCGGCTTCGACCCACAGTAAACTAGAAGCGTCCGTCAGCATCGCCTGTTTGGCAGAACCTGTGTTGTGGAAGGAGAGGGAGTTGCCAGACTTTCATGAAAAATTCTTCGAGCCCAGGCTATCAACGAATAAGCGAAGACGACAGGGTAAGACAAGGGCACCAAACAATTCTCACAGACAGCGCCTCATACAATGGTAACCATCGGGTTACATCCTCGAAGTGATTTAGCCTTCCACATAAAAAAGTATGAAAAAGGCGACCGCCTCCCAAATGGCATGATTTATTCAAAATAAGACAGAAAGAATTGGTAAAATTAGCAGACTTTTGTGTCCCAATGATCGGATGCCAGACTACCTTGGCCAGCATGTTCAAGTCCTGTTCAAAGGTGAGACAGAAGAAAAATAACCCCCTGCATCTTTCGCGGGTACAGTAAAATCACACACACACACACACATATTAATTGGAACATTCAATGGTTGCTAATCTTGAAGAAAGAACCGATCACTTGGCCGGCCTAGTACAACAAAAGAAATCTTACTCGATCACTGCTAGCATAGGAATGAAAAATAAATGACGGCATTGTTTACCCGGGCCGACCAGAAAGGTGGGGGAATGAGTGATTCATAGAATCGGTGAACTGCTCAAGTGTAGAACTGAAACTCTGTGTCTAAAGCATTTAATGAAGCAGTGCTCTAAAAGATAGTAGCAGAGTAATTAGGCTGTCTTCGAAAGTAGCCATTCATAAGTTCTGGCACACCAGCACGAGCATGAGCACGAGTATTGGCGACTTGTTGCTGAAGCTTGTGCGTATGTGTGTGTGTGTGTGTGTAAACATGTGCCTTCAAGCCTGCAGACCTACTAATGCATACACAAAATTATTCGCCAGCATGACTTTGATTATGGCTCAGAGAAATGTTTGACCCGTTTGGGCCAATTATGTGCAATAACAGGAGCAGTTATGACAGAACAAACTCGCTAGACTCTACTCACAGCTTATCAAGAATTTGCCGTCTTTTGTGACGTTCATACTCTGTCCTTAAAAGTGATTTGCACACTGGATGAACAAGATATTGACGACAGACGTTTAAAAACTCAATGAAGACGTATAAAAGGGTATAAAATGTGGATAAAAGAGAAATATGAGCAAGATGAATGGCAAAGCTGAAGAAGAGGTGAGAAAGACCGTAATAAAAGGATAGCATTTTAATGAGTGGGAAATAGATAAATAATTGCGAAATATTGGTGGATATGCAAACTGTGAAGAGAGTAGATAGTTATTCTGTCAAAAGGAAGACGTCATTGCCCTTTTTCAGATTTTGGTTATAATATTAAGGAGCAGGCTGTTGATGGCCTTTGAAGAGGAGGCCCAGCAGAGACGACGTGTATGGTGAAATATGATAGGCATGGGAAGATAGGTCCTATTCTGTGGTAGCAATTAAGACTAAATTTGAGCAATGAGGTGATAAAGTGAAAAATAAAACAGTTCACATAAAGGCTAAGTGAGGCAAATCAACCTCTATCACATTTTGCAAAAATGGAAATTGATAGCATGTCAAAAATATGTCACTCAAATGTGCGTATAGAAACACTGATTAATGGAGAAGATCCATGATAAAGTAAATCACTACATCGTAAAACCCGATGCTGAGGTTTAGTATGAAAGAAGCCATCGTATAGCTAAAGATGAGGCAATCAGAATCTTTGGGATAAGTGCCGAGCAAATGATACTGGACAAAAAAATAGGTACGGCATAAAAGAATTACCCACAGTTCTGCATGAGTTGAACTGTTGCAACTTGAAGCGAAAAACATAGTGCTTCTGGTCTTCCCCAGAACATAAAGCGGAAGCCAAAAGAATCAGAGCGTTGTGCGAGAAATGTAAATAAATATAAATATCCGGATAAAGGCAAACATGAACCAGGAAAGTAGACCTGAAGGAAAACGTATCGACAAAATACAGGCATCATTCTCATAGTAGCACATTTCTATACCAAAACCAAGTAAGTAGATAGGGTGTCACAGTAAACTGCTTGGAAGGCGAATAAAAACGAACTGTTCGCAGGAAAGAGAATGCAATCACGATTTCTCCATTATAAAAGAGAATGAAGGCCTGGACGGCGGGAAACAGATAAAAAGGGTCTAAAGAAAGTATGCTATTTCTCGGGCAGTACAGCCCAACAAGTAGACTAGCATAGAATGTTATCATTTTAACTTAAAAAGGCAAACATAAAAAAGCAGAACCAGAAGAATGGACAGATGGATGAAGAGGCATAAGGATAGGGAAGGTTGGAGGATCTAAGTAAACCTGGGTTGTTCCACTTTGAATGGTGGTGGATTATCTATATTTGCTTTAAACCTGTTTAAATGACTAAAATCAACCGAGATAAAATGGTGAATGCTTTTGAGTACTCTTAAGAGGGTTGCTTTGTGAAAAACCAGAGGGAACAAAGTTGTATGGAAGATATGTGGGACGAGGCAACCGGGGTTCACATCCTCCTAGTCACAGGAAACAATCACCTTTATAAGGCATATTCATAAGGGGAAAAGGAATAGAAAATCTAAAAAAGATCCAGTTTCAGCAACGATCTTATAGGGACCTTAGAGAAGAGAGCAAACAGCCGATTGACGTATTCTGCCTTCAAATAACAAGTATATAAGGATCAACGATAAATATAGTGGGATTGCATGCAACGTAAGAAAGTGATTTTGGTTCTAAGGAGGCAGTCAGCTTCAGAGTCGCAGACTCGCAACACAAGTCCACATGTATGTAAACTTTTACATATGAGCACGCATGTGCACTCATACTCGTCTTGATCATTTTGACTGGATGACATCTCAGACGCCTGATCGACTGAAAATCAGCCCGAAGTGAAGAAAGTGTTTGATGAAGGGTCGGCAGAGCCTTTAATGCCTGGGGGCATGTGGAGGGTATGAGAGACTGGCTCACCAGATGACTGCACTTGTAGGGAAGATGGGAGCACTGGGGTGCCGAAAGAACGATTGGCAGGTTTCAAGGGACTGGCGGCTTGTTGGGTGTGGATGGGAGACTGAGTGACCATGATTCCTGCTGCCTGGCTACCATTAAGACGCTCGTGCATCTTCTTCGAGACGTAGGCAATGTAAGAGATGTTGGGCCTCTCCTCAGGTACAGTGCGGATGCAGAGAGACACTAGCTCGCGTAGCTGTGGTGCAGGGATGAAAAGACAGTGCTGAATATATTACATGTGGCCGATTATATTTAAGTAAGCAAAAGTAGAAATAATGAAACTCGGGAATTTCGCTCCCTATTAAATATGTAGATAAATTAATTCTCGATATATATATATATATATATTTCTATTTTAATATATCTGATTTCGAAAAGGAAACTCACCAACTCTATTTGTGCCATCGTGACAAAATCCTAGTTTTCCTGAACAAAGAATCGCAAATTCTTGACAAAGATCTGGGATAGATGTTAAAATCTGTCCTAACTACCCGGAGCTATGATTGACTGCTTCATTGCAATACTCATATACATACAAAAATGTACCTCTACCTATTTGGTGGACTCGCTCTATAGTTTACGACATTCATTTTTGTTGGGGCAGATACAGCTCGATATGTCGATATGTCCGTCAAGCGAGATGACAAATGAAATCTATGCATTTCTCACTGTAACCGAACACGGGCACGTCGATGACTGTGTTGAGCTGAACGCCAAAAAAATCAAACGACAGACCAAAAGTAAGCAGCCTTTAACCTCTGATGAGATCTACCGATGAATATCTGTATGAGGGGTATTCACCTTATTTCCTTCAAGGTGGAGAAAGACTGTTAGTTGACGAGACCTAGGCGAGGTCTAGATTGCAGTACATTCTGGATGAGAATACCTTTTCGGAAGCAAGGCTATGTAAAATTCAATGGAACAATGAAGCCTACTCATATTGCAACTGATTGTAAGCAAATTCAACTACAAGTCGTTCATCACCTTAAACGAAATAGGATGAATACAGCCCTTACATATGATCAACCTATAATCTCGAAAAGCTAATTATGAAATGAAAACGAATTTATTCCTCGTCCTTTCACACAAGACAAATTACAGCTAACTATTTTACTTTAGTTAACAGCCCTGTTTCACAAATTGTATAACTGTAAGTTATGGCCATGACTAAAAGTCTTGCTTATCAAAAAAGGCAACTATTTCTGAAAAGAGTTTCCCATCTAATTTCCTTTTTAGTCCACCAAAGTAGACAAATCTTGGAGCAGCGAACTATACAAGTTTATATCTTTGTTACAATAAGCGTGCTTAATCTTAGAAATAAGCGGAAAACATGAAATTTCACGAATTTACAGGTTGATGGAAATAGAGGGAATTAGCTTGAAGCCCGATTATAGATCTTAAAAAATTTCAGAGTACATTTCCAGAGTCCTAAATTTCTTTAATTTGCAAAGCAGGGTAAAATTAAGAATCTATAGTAGTTGTTTGATCTTGTTTTCACAACATCGTCATCCCAGAGGAACACACCAAGTCCGAATCCATAGTATGCATGGTACTTTTCAGAGTCTGACCGTGGACGTGATACATTCCCAAACGTTTAGGCTGCATCGTCACTGGGCCTTGATAGTCGTAGTACCACACTAAAACTCGTCAAAGGGACAAGTGAAGCCGATCCTTTGACCACCTGTCTGCTAAACAATTGTGGTATCTATCCTCCTGTCCTGGCCTATTCGCCTATCCTATTTCCTCGTATCATCCCTTCACTATCACTATTTCTTACTTGTTTATCCATACCTATTTGAGACCTGTAAATATGACCAAGTTGGAAAACAAGGTCAAACAACTAATGTACAACGAAAGGAGACCGTGACCATACAAAAGGCAACACCATCTTTATCTTTACATCTTCGATTGATAATATATACATTAAAAAACGATCTAAGCCCCCCGTTAGCCACAAATTCTTCATGCTAATATCTTAGATCGGGTCATTTTTTATCCATTTTGCAAGATGTAGTCTGTACTTAATCTGGGATACTCAGGTGATGTAATCAAGCAAAGCTGCTTTGTATATTGCTGCGATTTCGTGAGTGCGTTGTAAGTGTGCAAGAGCTTCATGTGACGGAAGCCATTAGAAGAAATATTTGGTGAAGTAAAAAAGAATAATTTTTTACTTATCGGAATCTTCCGACTCTGCAAACCAATTATGATGCAGAATAAGAAGGACAGCAAATCTGGCTAAATATAAACAGTTTTAGAATGAACCCTAATGACTCTGCTGGATTAGAGAAACATTGCTTATCTATTAAGGAAGAAATTATGTTTGACTGTGAAATTTGGTATCTATTAAACTGGAGAAACCATATTTAAACAAAGTCAACCATATGAAAGTTAGACAGGATCAAAATGTTAATAATTGAAAGTGAATATATGGTTATCTAAACACACCCTAT